GCGCCCTCAGTCCCAGCCGAAGTCGTGCCCGGTCATCTGGTAGAACTTGCGGTTGAAGGGCCGGTAGAAGTCGCGCAGCCGCTGCAGCACCGCGCGGTCGATGGCGGGGTGCGGCCGGCCCTTGGTCTTGCCCAGGCAGTGCGGCCGGCCGCTGCCCTCGGCCTTCTTCAGGCAGGGGAAGCCCTTGGTCTTGTTGAAGTAGAAGTGCTTGTCGGTGATGATGCGCTTGAGCCCCAGGAAGTCCTGCACGCGGCCCAGCTCGCCGGCCGGGTCGCCCACCAGCCGCTCGCCGCTCACGAAGAGCAGCTGGCGCCGCGGGAAGTGGCGCAGCCAGCGCTCCAGGTGCTTGGCGTAGAGGCCGATCTGGATGGCGCTCCAGGACGCGTCCACCAGGCCCGCGCTGCGGTTGCGGAACGTCAGGCTCTCGAAGGGCGGGATGTCGGGCCGCTTGGACAGCGTCTGCGTGTAGTCCGAGACGGCCCTGGTCACCGGGTCGCGCACCACCACGATCAGCTTGGTGTCCTTGCACATGGCCGAGATGCGCGCGGGCGCCTCCCGCGTCACGAAGTAGCTGGGCGTCTTCTCCATGGTGATCTGCCCGTCCAGGGTTCTGGGCATCAGGTCCCTGCGCAAAGAGAACCGACGGAGCGGGTCAGCGGGTGACGCCTCTCAGTGTCAACCCTTCTAACCCCGGCTCCCTCCCCATTGGCAACAGTTGTAGAAATATGAAGAAGAAAAAAAAATGCAAGCAGAATTTTTGAGCTGAAAGGTGCATTAACGTCCCACCTGAAGTTTGGGGGTCAGACACTATCCACTGGAAAGGAAAAGGCAGCTTTCTAGAAGGTACAAGGAGGAAGAGGCGTGTTTCTCCAAGACCCCCTCCTGGCTGTCACCTCCCTTATTTTTCAGGGTATCCTGTTTTTACACGGTGCCAAGCATCTGATGTCAGACGGAAGGATGTTGGCCTCTGGGTATGTGAGTTTCCTAAGTAGTAGCACCTGGGGCTCCAGAGCCTTCTCTGCCCGTCGCCTGCACTGGCTGCCTTCAGGTGCTCCACACGCCTGGGCAAACGTGCTGCGGGGACACGTCCCCCTGGCCCAGCCAGGCTGCACTGGCTTCATCACAGCGGCCACTGACAGCGTCTACCTTTTCTGTGAAACGCATACCTGAGGCAGCAAAGCACGCAGCAGCCAAAATGCTGGGTGACATCAGCTGAAGGGTAAACTGGTACAAACTTGCCAAGAAGGAATTTCCAAGACAAGTCTAGAAGCTTCCAAAAACACTATAGACTCATTAAAAAAAAAAAAAAAAGGACTTGTGTGATATCTAATGCAGCACTAATTTAAGCGAAAGTATGTAGAAAAAATTGTTACAGCCTACAACAGATACAGGCCATGACTGCTGGACCAAAATCCAGCTTTGTGGTGGCAATTAGCACTAAAATAATAAGACTCGGTGCTGTAACACTGTACGTACCTTATATGTTCTCTGAGCCTCAGCATCCTAATTTGTGATGTGGGAATAATTCCACCTACTTTATTCAGTTGTTCTAAGGTTTATAAAACCAAAGCAGTTTGGCTTAACAGTTAAGGAATGTGGACTTGGCAGTCAGATTGCCTTGGTTCAAATCCCAGTGCTGCCACTTATAAGCTGTGTTACCTTGAAGAACTTACTCAATCTTTCTGGGCTTCCTTTCCTCAACTGTAAAAATAGAGATGCTAATACCTACCTCATGTGAGTTTAATAAGAATTAAAGCAATTAATGCTCACAAAGTACTTTGAACATGCCAGACATATGGTATATATTTAATATATAATCATTATTATAGCATTCAATACACAGTTTATAGCACATGGTAGGAGCACAGTTGAGCATGTGTGTGAATGGGCTCATGTGTATACATCCAAAGGAGATGTGTTAACTAAGTGGATACTCAGTTTTAGTCACAGATGTACAATTTTCCATTAGCTATGAGATAGATATTTCTGAATGATTCCTACCTGAGCCCAGGAATTCAAAAGAAAGAAAGAAAAGAAAGAAGAGAAAGGAAGGAAGGAAGGGAGGAAGGGAGGAAGGGAGGAAGGAAGGAAAAGACAAGACAGACAATTTCCACATCATTTTTGAGCAAATATTTGCCTCTCAGCAGGACATTCTAAACTTCCAGCTTCAAGCCCCTCTTAATCTACTGAGACCCAACTCCTGTATTGCGCACATTTATGGAAATGGTGATATAAAACCCTCACACCCACCAGCTAGGGCAACTCCCTGGAGGGCGTCCCTTCCTCCCAGCCAGCGGAAGGCGCTGGCCCTGAAGGCGCCCTGCCTGGCCCGCCTGGCTTTAGCTAAAGCTGATTGACCCACTTTGCCCATTAACCCCTTAGATTAACGCAGCAGGAGCATCAGGCTAAAGTGATGGAGGGTTAGAGAGAGTCCCAGCTCTCAGCTTATTTTTCATTTCACTCAAAAGCAGGGTGATTCAGATAAAGTCCAAGTTTTTCCCCCATGTTAAGCCATCTGCAGCTGGACAGTCTTCAAGAGTTTAATACTCAGAATTAAAGTGCTACCACCATATTGAAGGAACCCAAAACCCAAAGTTGTTCAGAGCCATTGCTGGGGGGTGGGTTCGGGTCAGTCCTCAGAAAGCCCACCTGACCCAGCGTGGGGTTTGAAGCCCAGCCACTGGTTTGACTCTCAGCATTGATGAAGGTGTGTAACCCTGCACTGGTCACAGATCACTAATCTGTCCATACCATGGGTTTTCCATCGGAACCATGAGAAAAATTTTGGTGTCCACCACTTAGTGTTTTTGAGACAACTGTGAACCTAACCTTGGTACCAGGCCTGGTGGCTCGTTGGTGCTAGAAAACATTCTCAGTCATCTCCTGCGGGCAGGATCTCAGCAAGTAAGGAGGCGAGGTACGCACATGGGTCCCTCGTGCGCTCTGCCCACACACGGGCCATGGGCAGGCTTGGCGCCCAGGGAGGCAGAGGTGCAGGACACTGGCTCTGCCCTCAGCTGGCCTGGGCTCCAGACCCACTGCAGGACCGTTGCTGCCTGCGTTTCCTTAGCATCGTCAGGAAAAGTCTGGTGGGACTGCACACAATAGCTACACGAACAGCTGTAAGAAACCACACCATGGGCTTGGTAAAAGGGACACGGGAGAGCCTCACTGGCCTCCAGTCGAAAGGCAACGCCTTTTCAGCCATAAGCCAAGCCTCTCCGAGCTGTGGGCAGGTCTCCTGTGCTTGCCTGCCTGCTCGCCATCCAAGCCACTCTGTATACTAGCTCCAGGGGACCCCTCTCCCCAGGATGGTTTGCATTTGCACACGGAGATCCGAAAGCACTCGGGGACTCAAGACTTTCCTTCATTGTCACTCTAACAGCCAGGGAACCACGGTGTGACCCCAAGGCTTTTCAGCCCCTGTCCACTGCAGGCCACGGCCACTGTCCCCTTGGCATGCTTGGTGGCAGATGAGTGGCTGATGATCGTGGAGGTGCACAACTAGGTTTCCACCATTTCAGCAAACGCCTCCTGAGCCCTCTCTGCTGGTTTCCCTGGGCACCTCCCTGGCAGGTGAAGTGGAGCAGAGTATATGCCTCCCCAAAAATCTGTCTCTTAGGCACAGGGTCAGCTTCGGCTGGTTGTGTTTAAGAAACAGCAGACACGGGAGGAGCTCTGAGAAACCAAGGAGAAGTTGTCATTTTACAAGAGACATCTACATTTAGAAGGGAAATATCCATCTGTGAGGGTACCCTTCTGGCTGTGCTAGGAAGAAGACAGGAATAAATCTTCAGCAATCTCCTCAATAGAGAAGGCAGGGACTGAAATCTGCATAACAACTTTACCCCTTGTTGTTTTTCCTGGCCCATAAATGGCCTCTCTCTTCCCGCCTACATCTTTCTTGTCTTTAGCTGGAGATGGTATTTAACTTGGTTTGGGCCATTTTGGGGAGTTGCTCAGTTTTCCTGGGCCTCTTATATGTACAGCAGGTATACCTGTTATTAAAAGTCTGTTTGTGCTCCTGTTAATCTGTCTTTTATTACATGGGAATCTCAGTCAAGAACCCAGCAGGGTAAAGAGGAAATTATTTTCCTCCCCTAACACAGGTACTAGGCTCAGGAGGAGCTTGCGTCTCCCCAGCACACCCCTGGGGAGCACAGCACAGACTGAGAGGTACGTGGAGAGCTCCTGGCACAGAGCCTTCTGGACTGTCACAGACAAGCCCCTCTCTCTCCCTCCCACCCTACCCGTAACACCCGGGCCTGGAGCAAATCCCTTTTTATTGGCTTCCTGAACCCACTTCCTTTTTCCTCTCCTTTCACTGGCCACACTCTCCTGTCCTCATACTCAAAATCCGTCTGAGCACAACAGTGACTCAGAGAAGAAAGTTTGAGGATGTGGCCGAGGGCGAGACCACTCACGTAGGCCCTGGCATGCCCATCCCAGCAGCAGATCCAGCCTCAGGTGGGCCTCCTGAACGAGCCAACAGGGAGGCTGCAGGTTAATTGAGCTGCTCATTAGGAAAGCCAATTTCTCAAACTGATAGTCATACCTAATAATTATGCAGTGCTTGGAGCCTGCAGAGGACTTTTCACAGACATTATCTGATTTAACCCCTCACAACAAGCCTTTGAGGTGGGTATTGCAGTCCCCAACTTGCTCATGAAGAAACTGAGGCTAAACAAGAGGGAGTGACTTGCTTAGAGGTAGGTCACTGGCCTGTATGTCAAGAGCCGGGACCTAGAGCCAACCTGTGGGATGCGTCCCCTGTCCCCTTCCATTTGCCACGAGCCCCTCCCCTCAGCCTCCTGGGTTTCCTTAATATGAGGAAAAGCACACAGCACCACATACCTGTCCTCTCTTTAAATAGATACCTCTATTTTTATCTCCTGTTCACAGATTAGGATCTTAATAACAGGCATTTCAGTGCTAGACTCAAATGACTGTGATCATAATTGTTTGAAAATGAGTCGGACTTCGGAACAACAGACCTCTTGGTTCACACACTCCCACATTCTGTGGGGCCTGGCATCTCAGCGGCTGGCCCTGGCCTCCTCCCTTTCTACCGGGTGTGCAGAAAGGGACACCTGGCACGTATGACCAATGAGTTCTTGTGAAGCCAGTTCGTCTAGTGCAACCCTGAGGAAGACACACAGTCCCCCCATGAGAAGCACCCCCTAGGACAAGCCTCAGAGAGACTAACCAGCAATGCAGATGACGACACCATGACAGACGGTGAGACAGCTCCCACTTCTTCAGTGAGACCTACAGGTGAGACAGACTTGTCCTCCCATTTGGCCTGTGGATGACAAGCCCAGTGACTCCCAGGAATACCAGATCTCAAAGAGCAGGGCCACGGAGCAGGAGCATGCGGGCGGGGTGCTCAGACTGACAGCGTGTTTGGGGATATTCTCACGAAAGTGGTGGCCCTCTGCGCAGCCGGCCTCCCCCCTTTGTGCACCCTGGAACATAGGGCGTTTGAACTATGTGCCTGGCCCTTGCCCCAGACCAACTGAGCCAGGCCCGTGTGGGTGAGGCCCCCACACAGGTTCTTTGAGAGGGTTCTCATGTGCAGCCAGGGTTGGAAACCACTGTCCCGTGGCATCTGCCCTGTAGTGAAGGCGTTTATTCTGCTGACATCCATGGCCACTAAGAGGAGACCATCGTGGGGGAAAAAATGAGAAAACAATTGTTCAGCTAATCCAGGACTTATTATTTGAGTCAAAGGAGTAAAGGTCTTACTCTCTCAGCTGACAGCAGACCAGGTCCCAGAGGGAGTGAGGGGGACGCCCAGTGGTCCACAAACTGCAGAGAACAAATAACCAGAGCAAACTGTGAATGCGGCCAGTTTAACGTGAGAAGAGGGCGTGTGCTGCCCTTAAACGGGAGTGAGAATGAGTCCACGTG